GGGGGGGAACGGGAGCGGGGGGGAGCTGCCGCCTCCCGGGGCGCGCCGGGGGAGCGCTGGGCGCTGCCGGCCCAGGGCCTCAGGCGCCTGTTTCTCTTGCAGGAGGTGGAAGTGCTGGTGTCCCACTGGAACCTCTATATCAACCTGGGAGGCTTCTTCGTCGGTCTCTTCTCCGTGACTCTCTTCGGACCATGGAGCGACAGCGTGGGCCGCCGTCCGGCACTCATCCTGCCAGCAGTGGGTATGGCCATGCAAGCGGCCATCTATCTTCTCGTTATGTACCTGCAGCTGCACGTTGCCTACTTTCTCCTTGGACGCATTTTGAGCGGCCTCATGGGAGACTACAACCTGATCCTGGCCAGCTGCTTCGCCTACGTGGCTGACACCAGCAACAAACACACACGTACATTTCGTGTTGCTGTCCTCGAGGCGTGCCTCGGCATCGCGGGCATGCTGGCCAGCATCGGCGGCGGCCAGTGGCGCAAGGCTCAAGGGTATATCAACCCCTTTTGGCTTGTGCTTGCTGCCAGTCTTGCTGCTGCTCTCTACGCTGCTTTCTGTCTTCAGGAATCGGTGAAGCAGCAGAAACCAGCCAAGCTGTTCACGCTCAGTCATTACAAGGCTGTCTACAGGCTGTACACGGCCCCAGAACACTTGAGCTCCAGGTGGAAGCTCGCTCTTTACTCCCTGGCTTTCTTTCTTCTTGTCACGGTACATTTTGGAACCAAGGACATCTTTGTTTTGTATGAACTTGGCTCCCCTCTCTGCTGGGCTGCTGATCTCATTGGGTACGGCTCAGCCGCCAGTTACCTGGCTTACCTAAGCAGCCTGGGAGGGCTGCGGCTGCTGCAGCTCTGCCTTGAAGACACCTGGGTGGCAGAGATAGGATTGATCTCCAATATTTCTGGACTGGTTGTGATTTCTCTTGCTACTACAACACCACTGATGTTTACAGGTGATGCCGAATTCTTAAATCCCTATATCTCGGGCTCTTAGCTTAGACATGCCAGTAGATGCAGGAGGGCAGTGTGCTTCTGGGAGTTCAAGCACGTGGAGGAAGTTCTGCCTCCATTTCAGGTTGTGTACCAACAAAACTGTGGCTTGCTAACAGCAAAGTTGGCCAAACACTGAAGTTGAAAGTGCAACCATACAGTTCCTAGAATATTAGGTTTCCCAGAAGCTGTATTACACTGCAGATACAGACTAAAGTGCATTGTGAGGTGCAGGAGGGTGAATTGGGTCTAAATATAGCAGGGAGAAGCTGCCTTGAGCTACAGATTTCTGGGATTGACTTTGGAGACTTTATTTTTCAGCTGAGCTTTCCCTAATGTGCTGTATCTTGCTCACAGGTTATGGGACTCTGTTCCTCTCCATGGCAGCCACTCCAGTCATCAGAGCCAAGCTCTCCAAGCTGGTCAGCGAGACGGAACAGGGTAAGGAGTTAGCCACTATGCTTAAGCCAGGTCTTGAAACACTGAAATCAAACTGCTTTGGGAAGTTAGGACTTCCCTGGCTCCTTTGGACTCCTGTGCCCCTGCATCCACCCTCAGGCCCAGGGTAGCATTTTATTTTTTCAGAATAATTGTCATTCATCCGTTTAGACTTGCTACGTTTTCAAGATGAGGACAAGAGAAGGAAAGCAAGATGAAAAGTATTGCATTCAAACTCAGGAATAGTTCATTCATCCATCTGTTCGTTTCCAAAACTTTTACAAGGAGCAAGAGTTAAAATGGATTATATAACGAGCAGAAAATAGTGATTTCCCTGACTATGACTCTTTTCTGTAGATCAGTGACAGTGGGAAGAAACCTGGTGTTGTTGAGGGTTATATCATTGACCATGGTGAAAGATCATGGATAACCCGTAGGAGGAGCATATTTGCCTTTCTTCCAGTAATTCGTTTGTAGAGCTTGTGCTTGCTGTTAAACAGCGCATAGGAATGCCTCTGCAGACAGACAGAGGAGAGGAGGGAATCGAGGCGGGAAAGATCAAAAGGTGACTGCACAATTCGTGTTTCTTATATTAGAAGGAGGGTGGTGCACACTTGATACCAGATTTATGATGCTAAATCTGTATAAAGTGCAGTCTTCCACTGTACTTAATGTTTAACAAGCGATAAGATGTGCTTGGCAGTAAACAGATCTATATAGCCCTGTCTAAAGTATTTACAATCCAGCTGATATATAATATCCCTGGTCAGCTCTGGTGATACACATTCTGGAGGTCAGTGAGGTGGTCCTGGATACAGAGAAGCTGAGCTCGACAGCTTTGGCCTGCTAGGCCAGCACAGTGTGCCTGATCTGCTCCCAGCTCTTGCTTACCACGCTTGACAATGCAGACACCAGTTTTCTGATGGGAAGTGCAAACCCTGAGAAAGGTTCACAGAATCCCACTGAAGGAGGTGGTGGGGTAAAGACAGTTGCAGGCAGGGCCGTGTCACCATTAACCTCTCGTATATCTTTTCCAGGTGCTCTTTTTGCTTCTGTTGCCTGTGTGGAAGGGCTGTGTTCGCTTGTGGCTACAGGAGTGTTCAACTCTCTCTACCCTGCCAGCTTGCACTTCATGAGGGGATTCCCGTTTCTTTTCGGGGCTATAATTCTTCTTATTCCAGCAGCTATTATTGGGTAATTTACTTGAAATTTCTAAACTTTGCCATAGGGCCTGTGAAGTGTAATATGAAAAATACTATTTACTCTACTTAGGATAGAGTCTCACAGTTTTTAAGGCATATTTTCAGTTATGCTTATGAGAGGGTGTTTATTGCCCCAGTAAGCAGAGGTGCAGGTCCATTTCTTCTGGCATCTGAATCCTAGCAGTAAACCTACAGCCCAAGTAATGTAGCTGCCAACATTCAAAGTGCTTCAAAGTCTCACTCCACCCTCAGAGTGGAATCCAAAATCTGGAGTTGAATTTGAAAGTCCTCCTTTATGGAAGAGATGGAGCTCTTTTAGCAGTCTCTCTTCCTGTTGTTTCTCTACTAGTCAAAGCAAAAGTTGTGTCATGACAGGAAACAAATCCCCTGGTAAGTCTTGGGAGAGAGAATGTGTTGGGATTTGCAGTAGAAGTGCAGCAGCTCCTGGCAGGGTCATTTTGTTCTGTTCCTTTGAAACTTTGAAACTCAACTTCATTCAGCAACATCTCAGCGTGCCTTCGTAGGCTCTAACTGTTCGTTCTTTCTTTCTTAGGTGGATAGAAATCTGGGAGTCAAACCATGTCTACAGTCACTTCTCAGACACTTCCCTGTCCCCTGCAGATGGCTGAGCAGCAACTTAGCAACAAGGAATTGGCCCGCTTGGCGGTGTCCATCTGAAGACTGCTCTTTATTCTTCCCTTGAAGGACAGATTAGTGTGGGAGGGACACCTTGCTTGTCCTTACCAATTTTTAAATGCCAAATAGTTGGAAATCATGGCTCTGACTGCCGGTAGGAACTTGATTTGCAGATGTGAATGCCTCCTTGGTCAGAGAAAACCCAAGAGACTCAAAAGCCAATCAAGGGTAAAAGCTGTTATTGGCCATTTGCAAGGCCAGTTAGTGGTTTGGGGTTTGGTGGGAAGGGAGGGTTCTGTGGCTTGCTTTTAGAGGACTGAATTCTGCTTTAATTGCCAAACATGTTCCCCTCTGAGTACTAAAGTGTGCAGCAGATGAGCTGTTGGTGTGTGTGAGGCCCAGACCAAAGCCTGCAGAGCGAGACTGAAGCAGAGGTACCCAACAGCGTGCTGCTGAGGAGAAAGATCTGCGCTCCAAATCAGTGTGTTGTCAATAAAAGTCGTACAAACATCGTATGCCAGACTAGGCTCCTGCAGAAATCCTTATGATGAGTAGTAGTTTACCACAGGAGTGCTATTGCCGTCCTTATTGACTAAACTAGCTTTAGCTTCGCAAGTTAGAGGTGTCCGAGGGAGAGAATCTGATGTATGAAGTGCTTGTAGCGAGGAGTGCCAGTGGCATGCCCTGCCTGTCTGTCTGCAGCTCAGCCCAGGATTTCAGTGGTACTTTTAGGAAGTAATCGCTCGTGTGAGAATACCAAGGTGCAAGTAGGTGCCTTAATTGACAGTTGCCCAAACTGATGAATTTAAGGCTAAAATTGACAAAATTGGGCCTCCCTAACTGAAGACCCTTACGTTAGAAATTTGAGGCCCCAACTGTGATAAGCGTGCCCTAGCATCATGTGAAGTCACTGCTGTGCTTATGGCAAAGCCAGAAGCAGTCCTTCCTCATCAATACACAGCGCTGTTGGGTTGAGCTGGTGTGGGGACAGGACTAGTGTCTTTGGAGATAAAATTATGCCCCAAAATTTTGTGTCGGTGACGTCACTTCTGCTGCCTTTCTCAGGATTTGTTGATGCCAGCAAGCAAACAGCGTGTTCGTGGTACTCATAATTGTTCTTTTCAAAGCATTAACTGTATTGCCTCAATCCTATTTTCTTCAAACTGCCATAAACCAGCAGTTCTGTGTACATTGCATTGCACACACTGTTCAGATGCATGCAATAATGTCCTTAACTGAGAAATTGCTTAGCAGACATATTACTTTCAGAGTGAATAAAACCTCCATTCTCTTTTATGGTTCATAAAAAGCTAGCTTTTCTCGTACAGCTGTTGATGTCATTTGTCCTCGCCTCGTTCTGTGCTTCTCTCCATTATTTTCATGCTTCTTCCTTTATTGAAGACTTTGCAGTAGAGAAGCAGCAGCAGGAAGTTATCTGCCTCGTGGAGAATGAGCGTGCGAGAGTTCCGAGTCAGGAAGAATGCAGATTTGGGACTTGCAAGCAGCCAGAGCTTGCTTTTCCGGGACACCGGAGTAAAGCTAGCGGGAGTACTTAGTCTGTAACCTGCCCTTCAATATGCAGTAGATGTGAAATGCTTATATACAGCTTTGTTCCCTGTCCGTTAGGAGTTTGTGATAAAAGCAGGAGAATTGGAGAGTAGAGAAGCAGGAGGTGGAGAAGTAGGGAGGCTTTAAGAACTTGCTGTTATGCCACTTGATCTGTGTAGTTACGCCAGTGGACATAGGCAGGAGTTACATGTCTGATTGCCAGGCTAAGCCCAGAATTAGCCTCCCTGAGGAACAGGGCATGCTGTGAGTGTTGCATTAGCTGTTTGTAGCTGAACTGATTGTGAAGTAAGCCGCCTCTACCAACAGACTCCATGGACGCCAATGCTAGCAGCTGCTCAGTGCTGTGCAGTGAAGTGAAACTTGTGTACTGGCTCTGCTTTCCTGTTTGTGTCAGCGTGCTTGCAAAGGAGAAATTCAATAGGAACTATTATGCTCTATTAAAAAAAACAACAAAGTTTTTCTGGGCTGTCCTCCAAGAACTACAGCCGTGAAACAAATACATGATCGTTGCATCGTGACTGTGGGCAGCAGGTAGAGAGTCCCTGGGGATGCAGTGAGCAACATCAGTCCATGCAAAGATGAGCGTGAAGTCTGGGTGCCCACAGAGAACGGTGCTTGGAGAATGTCAATTCTGCTGCCCCTTCAGAGGATGAGAAAGCATGACGGCAAGAGAGAGCAATTGTGAGAAGGCTGCAGGGAGAGAAGCATGTGACACGAACAGAAAAGAGGTGGGGATTTAGAGTATAAACCAAATTTATTAATAATGTCTGACAGAACAACTTTAAACAGTTTGACATGACATAGCGAAGGAATAAGGAAGGGTGAGAAGAGAAGGATTCAATTCCTTGAGACTGTCTGCTCGGACTGGAAGGGGCTGGGTGTGGGATGTTTTGTCAAGAGCAGGGCGAGTTCGTTAAGGTGAAGATAACTGAATGATGGGGAGACAGGAAGAGTCAGTCTGGGCAGCTGGAGCATGAGATGGATCTCATTGCAGGTGAGACACCTAAGCTGCAGAGAACAAGTAAATCTCTACATTGAATGGTGGGTGAGGAGGTTAATTGCTAGAGAGCTCCTGGGAAACAAGACGCAATAATCTTACTGTGTATTACTGTCGGGAGAAAAATCCTTAGGACTGTTTGTGTGGGACTCCTTCAGTGGCCATGGAGGCCTTGACATTCGATCAGTTACTCAAGACTTTTCCCTGAAGTAGCTCACAAGTGGCTTTTATTTGGCAGATTCACCTTTGGGCTCATCTGCTGGCTTCCTCGTATTTAATCTGGAGATTAGATAGATTGTGTTTCTGATAAATGCTAGGCAGATATAGCTATTAACCTTTCACTGGAGAGCAAAGATGCCATTAACTGTGAGCTGATAAGAACTATCCATAAAGCTGTGGTTAAGCACCAGAATTTAACTTTTTTTTTTTCTTTTCTTAAATGTTCATGGATCTAAGCCAAAAGAAAATGTGTTTGGGTTCCTGCCAGTTAAGGCAGGCAGCGAGGCTTCGGGGAGAGCCAGGAGAAGGACGAGGTGGCTGAGTCTCCTCATTACCTCCTGAAAGGGTTGAGTTATCTTGAGCAGGGACAGGCAAAGGAGCTTGCTTCTTCTGCAGGGTGGTGCATCAGCCCGGTCTCCAGACTGTCGGGGCAGGCTGGTGTTCCCTGGGCATGGCTTGCTCTTCCTCCTGTCTGTCCTCTGAACAAGGATGTCTTTTTGCATTAGTCACTTTGCATCAAAACAGACAAGCCCACGTAGGAGCTGCAACTTCTGGTCCTAATTGCAAAATGGCATGTTGTTGAGAGCCTGCTCACCCTCCAGGCAGGTGTGGGAAGCAGGACAAGGCTGGGAGTGCAGAATTCGGGGGAGGTGTGTCGGGGTGCCTGTGGTTCCTGGCCTGCAGCGTTAGCAGCCGGTGCTGCCAGTCCTGCTCCCAGCTGGTGCTCGCACCTAGCAGCCTCCACCTGCCCTTGGCATCGACTTTGCCCTTTCTTGATATTTCAAGGTGAGTAGCTACAAAAAGACCTGGTGGGTCTTGAGAAGAGGTCGGTAGAAAGAAACAAATGCTGCTTGGTATTGCATCCAGCAGGGAGTAGGGACAGCCCTGAGCCTGAGGAGCTTAGCCAGGGCTGTCAGGGGTGAGTGCTAGTCAACAAAGAGAGAACGCCAGCTCCTGTTTGAAGGAACAGACCACAGGAGACCTGCTGTGGAGCACCAACAACAGAATAAAGTACAGCCAGTGCATGACATCTCTGCAAGTACAGTGCAGCAATTGGCATCTTCCTTATCTGCATGGATGTATGTTTTCCAGAGTCACAATCCAGCCTCCCATGCCCTGTAAGTATAGCCCTGATAAAGCGGTAAAGCTGAGACATCGGATGGAGGGAAGGGGGTTGTTTTAAAAGCACTTTTTGCAAAGATCCTGCAGAAACTTCACATGATCTAAACCCAAACTTCTATCGCCAGAGTTAAGAGCACAAAGTGGTTTTGCAGCATTAGGAGGTGAAAGGCCCTCTAGGAGGGAGCGAGCTCATGCGATAAAGGGACATTACTGGGAAAGAGAAAGCTGCTGCTGAGCAGTTTAGAAGGCCTCTGTGTGTTATCTTTCCCAAACACGGGGATTTCGTTAGGGCTTAGCTTTTATTTGCCCTTTCCTGCTCTCAGCTTCTGACCGCAGCGATATTCCGGCGCCACCCAGCAGAGGCCCATACGATGCTTATGGACCGTTCCCTCTCAACTGCTCTTCTCTCTCACGTGTCCTCTTGCAACGTACCCCTCACCAATCCCCCAGCTTTCGGTCCTTAGAAGATCCCTCCTCTTCGGACATGCTTCTGGGGGAAGCTGCAGCCATTTGCGGGGGTCTGGACAGTGTCGGTCTCCCTTGCGCACCCTGCATTGCAGGAGGCGTAGCCTGCATGTCCTGCCACCCCGAGGGAGGATGTGGAAGACAACTCGTCCATCCCGGAGTCCGCCCTGGCTTGGCTCACCAGGCACCGTACAAGTAAGTGCTGGCCTTTTAGCACCAGGGGCTTGCATTTGGAGGGTGAAGGGGGGATAATGAGCCAAGGCCTCGTCTCAAGCCAAGGTACTAAGATGGGGAAAAATCTAGAGGGAGAAATTTGGTCCCACATAAAAAAGGGGTCACCTGGGAAGTCTCTGGAGGGGATGAGGCAGCTGTGCTGGTTCTAGGTCTGCCCTGGGGAGGACAAGCAGTCCAGGCCATTCTCCGACCCAGCCGAGGAGTCCCGGGAGGAACGGCCCTGGAGAAAGCGGATGATTTTGTCGATTGTGGCCTCCTGGTACTCGTGGGACCACCTGTGTTCGAGGGGGAAATCTGAGTTAATTTTTCCATTGTGCAAGGTGCCATGAGGTAGCTCAGTGTGTTCGGGTCAGGAGCCAGAGACCCCCTTTCTCCAACCCAGCTCTCTAGGAGCACCCTTTTCCCCATGGAAAATGGAGGAACACTGGATGCCGCAGGAAAGCCCCTTCCCCTGTCCCCTGCCAGGCTGGAGAGCTACGAGCAGGTTGGGATGTCAGCCTGGAGCGCTGCTGCACGAAGGGGAAGCAGGAGGCGAGAGGAACCCAGGCGAGCTGCGAAACCTGCCAGCATCGCTCCTGCCTGGAGGGCTGGGGGCACGAGGCTGGGCATCCTCCCAGCGGCGACGGGGTGGGGAGCTCTGTTACCCAGAGGAGCCCCAAGCACAAAACCAGCAGAAGAGTTATGGTGGGGACCTTTGCTCCCTTCATGCTCTGGAGTACCTGAAGTGACTCGCCTCCCCTTTGGCCTGTTCTGCCTCCCTCATCTGTTTCTCCCAATTTCCTTTTGCTCTTTGCTACTGCTTATGCAAGCCGTTCTCTCCAGGTGTCAAGGAACCCCATGGCACATGTTCCTTTTACTTACTTGATACCATTAAATTTCAGGACAGCCCTCATGTCCTTGGGAAGTGTTTCTGGGTCCGGCCACTCAAAATGGTCTGTAACAGGTATAATGTTCTTTCCAGAGTTCAGGGCTGTCACAATCTCCTGCAGGAACGTGCAAGTGCTCAGGCTATGGCCCGTGTCAGCCCATCACCAGCTCCTTCCCGCTCCAGCAGCCACCAAGCTCCCACCTGATGGCATCTCCTACCTTGTGCACCCAGTCCTTGCACTCAGGGTCTTCCATGCATTTATCCAGTGCGTTTGGTGAGAGGACCAGCACAAAATTGCGGGCACTCATGACACTCTGGATCAGCTTGTCCTCAAACTTCCCTGCCTCCAGCTTCTCCACATCGATGAACACGCTGAAGCCGTGCAGCTGCAGGTGGACCTTCAGCAGGCTGGTGGCGAGAGGAGACAGCACCGTGAGGAGAGCTACTGCCGGCGCCTGGGTTTCCCACCGCATCGGCCAAGACATGATGAGACAGAGGAGCAGCGAACGGGATCCCACAGAGAACAGAAGGGTCCTTGAGATGCCAGCTGCCAGCCCAGCCTGCTTAGAGGTGTCTGGGCCTGCTCAGAAAACACGGGGAGCAGGACGTTAACTCCCTGCTGTGATCCCCTACAGCCCTACGAGGACAGCGTGAAAAAGGGTAAGTCAGTGTCAAAGAGGGACAGGGTGGCAGTGACAGGACTGGGAATTAGCCTGTCCACCGCGCAGCTTATGGCACGTGCTGTCCCCATTTGCACTGAGCTTTTGGCAGCCTCTCCCTGCTCCCCGCTGCAGCCTGCAGCTCTCCCGGCTCCACGCTCTTCCCACAACTGATCACCAGCCTT